CTATAAATGTAGGCTCATAGATCTATTTCCCCATCCTCATATAATATATTTGTATATGTACATGTCTTTATCTAGAGCTCTATAAATAGAGGGTACATTTCTTAATGTGTTTGCTGCGTCATTAGGTTACGTGTTTGGTCTTAATCTTTTCATGGATATTGACGATCCTGTGAAATAAAAAAATCAAAGTTCACTATTAATCAACCAGCAATCCTGAGTGTTGGGGTCCCATGATTGTGGGAGGGAGTTGGGTGCAAGGTGCAGGTTACTGGGACAGAAAAGGTGCTTTACAGAATGAGCTGGCCGCCGAGAGCATCTGAAAATATCTGGGTTTAATCTGATGACATCTCAAGATTTTATAGATCAGTGAACAACTTTTGCTCTGTTACACCCAGGGCTTGGAAAGGACAGACTTTCCACAAGCACATGATCAGATTCACACGTGCTTGTGTCCAGGCTCTTGAGTGATGAGAGGAGTGCAGGTGCCAATTCCTTGGGTCTTGCTGTTTCTGTGCATCAAGAGAACCATGAGAAATAAATAAATGGCTGCTCCCAGCCCCCCAGGAAGGAACGGAGGCTCTTCCTGGGACAGGGCGAGAGAAGGGGAACGAGAGCAAGCATGTGAACTACACCGAAGGCAAATATAGAGAATGGATAATCACTCACCAGTGTAGGCTTCACTCCAAATACGCTCACAGTCCGCAAAAGGGAGGTACAGGTGATGTTTGTATTATCCTCTTGTGTTTGGAATCACTCGATAATTTTCCCTTTGGTTCTCTCTGTTCAGTGTATTAACCCTCCTTGCAGGGATGGGGGAAAGTTGCGGAGGAGGGCTAATTTCTCCAAATTATATTGTAACACAGTTGGGGGAGAGCCAAGGATGAAGCATTTTTGGCATATTAATGTCTCATTCTTCCTTCCTTTGGCAGTAAGAGTAGAAAGCAACTGCTTTCTGAAAGCTGATGACCCATTAGATGCTGGTCTCTCTGTGATCTGAGTCCAGACTCCTGTAGTGATTAACTAGCTCATTTGGAGGCATGGCCTTGCAGCAAGGTAGGAGTGTAGGCATTTCTCATTCACTCATTCAGCAAATATTTCATGAATACCTACTCTGTGTCAGGCACTTTTATAGACTGTTTTTTTTTTTTTTTTTTCAGTTTACCCTCCCAACTGCCTTTTGGAGAGGGATGCTATGACCCCCATTTACAAGTGAAAGAACAGGCTCAGAGCGGTAAAGTGGCTCACTCTGTTTTGATCCCACATCTCCTGACTCCAGGACTCTGGGCAGACTTATGCTGAACAAGGCTGGCTAGGGCTGTGCATCCAGCTTCCACTTGGAGAGAGACTGGGACCAACATTGTTTCCTCAAAGCCAAGCTCTCATGCGCCTGGAATAGGGGCCTGTTACGGTGTGGTCCTGTGTACCCAGCTATTGTAACTCTTGACATTTTCAAAGCAGGGCAAGCTCGAAAGCCCATTTAAATAAGATTCTCAGCTCCCTTAAGGAACAACAGAGATCAGCAGTGGTGACACTCGGAGCTAAATGAGCAATTTTGTGAAAGTGCTAAGTAAATAAAATAAAACAGGAGGAGATATTTGGAAAGTGCAATGAAACAGAAGGAGCTATTTGGGTGGTGGCGATGTTTGAACAACAAAATTGAAGCGAATAATGTCATGGAATTAGACATGTGAAACATGTTGAAATGGGCAAATGTTTTGCTGCCTGTCTGTTTACCATGGAGAGTGAGAAACAAAAATCTTCAAGGAGATTAAGGAATGTTGAGGGAATGGGGTGATGCTTGCTGTACCGATGCTTGATGGCTACCTCTCATTTCTGCAGCCCAAATGAGACATGAAGAAGTGGGGACCTCTTGTGTTCCTAGAATTGAGTTTTTTCAGTTTCTAGTTATGGGACCTCAATAGGAACATTATTAAGTTCCCCAAGATCCTTGGCTTCCTTGAGAGATTGGGAGTTAGAACAAAGACACTAAGTGCCTTAAGACACCGGAGGCAGTGTTGAATGGGGCTTCACACCTGCCGGCAATACTTTGAGTGTCCTGGGGTCACTTTGAGAAGCCCGAAAGCCAGAAAGTGATAACTGAATAGCAGCTACCACTCAGCATACCAATGAAAAGAGGGTCCTTTTTATTTATTATTTTAAACACTTTTATTGGGACATAATTCACATCATACAACTCAGTAGTTCCATCATATCAAGAAGAGTTGTGCAATCATTACCATCCTCCCATGCTATACCCACAAGAAACCACTAATCCAGTTACTGTCTATAGATTCACCCATCCTGGATTTCATATATTAAAAAACAGGAAACGCTAACAACAACACCAAAATAGAGAAAACCCTCAATGTGGTTGTTGATGGCCTCCTTCCTATGTGGAGTCCCTGTCAGTCTCAAGCCCCCTGGCCCTCTCTTTGTTCTCTGCTCCGTCTCTTGGGTTGACTGTCAAGACTTCTTGAAGACCTAACTCAGGCCATTCCTGCTCTGGGGCTTGTGAGGACGTGTGTATGTACAGGGATGGTTCCATGTGGGGCCCGCCTTTGGGGATGGTCCTTGGTTCCCGGCGTCTCCCAGATGAGATTGGCAGCCTCTCATTCTTGAGGGCCTGCTCCTGGG